GGGAGGCCAAGGCAGGAGAATTGCTTGAACCCAGGAGCCAGAGGTTGCAGTGAGCTGAGATCACACTCCAGCCTGGGTGACAAAGAGACTGTGTCTCAAACAAACAAACATAAAACCCAGAAAGAAATATTTTCTAAGGCTATAGCTACCATAATGATTCCTTTGATGGATCTGGGCAAAGTAAACAGAAAACCTTCTGGAAAGGATCATCATTCTAGATCCCATTAAGAACATCTGTGGAAGGAGGTCAAAAGACCAACATTAACAGATTGGAAGTTGATTCCACCCATCATAGATGACTTTGAGGGTTCAGTTGAGGAATTAACTCCAGAAGTGGTTAAAAGAGCAAGAGAATTAGAAGTATATCCTAAAGATAGGATTGAATTGCTACAATCTTATGATAAAACTTGAATGGAAAAGGAGTTGCTTCTTACAGATGAATGAAGAAAATTGCTTCTTGATATGGAAACTACTCCTGGTGAAGACGCTGTGAACACTGTTAAAATGACAGCAAAGGATTTAAAATACTGTATAAACTTAGTTGATAAAGCAGTGGCAGGATTTGAGAGGACTGACTGAAAGTTTTACTGTGGGTAAAGTGCTGTTAAACAGGATGGCCCGCTACAGAGAAATCATTCATGAAAGGAAGAATCAGTTGATGTAGCAAATAACATTCTTCTCATATTTTAAGAAATTGCCACAGCCACCCTAACCCTCAGCATCTGTCACCCTGATCAATCAGCAGCCATCAACACCAAGGCAAGACCCTCTGACAGCAAAAAGATTATGACTTGCTGAAGGCTCAGATAATTAGTATTTTTTTTTTTTTAGCAATAAAGCATTTTAAAATTAAGACATGTGAACTGTTTTTTAGAAACAATGCTATTGCATACTTAATAGTACTACAGAATAGTGTAAACATAACTCTTATATGCACTGGGAAACTAAAACATTCATGTGACTTATGTGACTTGCACTACTGCAATATTCACTTCCTTGTGGCAGCCTGGAACTGAATCTGCAATATCTCTGAGGTATGCCTGCATTACATATTGGAGAGAAATACAATTGTATTAAGTCTCGGAAATATCAGTAAGTATACGCTTTACCATTTTAATTTAGACTACTTTTATTACTAATACTGGGAGAAAACATTTTTTCATGTTGATGCAAACTTCATGGCCTGTATTCGTTTGCCATGAATTGAAGAAAAAAATGGTCAGAAAAAAGACACGAAGCCTGCCTTCATAGAGCTTATGTCTGAATTGTGGGGTGAGGGGAAACAATCTAAATCCCACAAATAAATATAAGGTTGGAATGCACTAATGTGCATGGTATCTACTTTAGAAACATTTGAGAAGAAAGTTTAACTATGCTGGGGAGGGCAGAAGGGCTTTCTCGGTAGGAGGAGTAAGTGTCAGTCTTTTGGGGTAGTGGCTTCTCACATCTGAGAGGGCAAAAGCAGCAGAGAGCATAGAGTACAGTAACCATACTGCAAGATGATGCAGGAAAGCAGCCAGCCAGTCAGGACCAGGTAGGCCATTCTGGTTCTTATCCTTAGTCTTAGACAGGGACAAAGGGGAGTATGAGGGCCACTAATTCACTTAGCTCTCGGGGTCTCTGATGACATTTTGACCCTGGTTCTCTGTCTCACAGAGGGACTTGAGTCCCAGTGCTCAACAGACTCCTACTTCTGAATACCTGGGTAGGATCCCTGAAATTCTCTGCCAGACTCTGCAACCCAAACTGTCAGCCCATTTGTACTTCCTGATGCCACAGGGGCCCTGCTACCACCAGGGGCTGAGCTACAAAAATGCATCAACTGAAGCTAACACCATGCCTCAGTTAGAACCTCAAAGTCCTTGTTAGTTAGTCGATATGTTGAACAGCTGCTGAGGGCAGTAGACCCATCAACTTCCTTTAGCTTGTCTAGGGCCCACACATTTTTAAATGTAAATCTCTCTCACTTTTGCTTTTTCAGGAACATTTTATTTCTAAGGAACCTTCAAAGCTTTGGAAAGTCTAATTGATATCTTGACCCTTCAACAATATAAAACTGTTATTGTTGGTCATCTTACAACCTTTAGAAGCCTGCCTGCTGAGAGAAGGTATTTAGTATTAGCTGCAATTTCTTGGAATCCCAGCAAAAAAGTATTTCTAAGGCCCGTCTTCTGTTTATACAGAGGTATAGACTTCTCAATTTTTACATCACTTGCTAGATGTGATGCATGACTCAGGCTGCACCTGATACTTGAACTTCCCCATTCTTCTTCCTCGGACTGAACTGATCCTTACTTTACTTCCCACACTCATGTCCTTCATATGCCCATCCTCAGAGGAACAGCTTCCAGTCATGGCATTCTTTAGATCATTAGGTACTGCCCAACCTTACCTTCAGTCTGGAGTCTCAGCCCATTGTGCCCCACTCTGCCTCACCCTTTTTCCTGTCAAGGCTTGGGCTATATCCTTTTACCAGGAAGCCTGAAAGGGAGAAAGCTTCGGCTAGAACCCAGCCTTGGGTTGATACAGAGCTGTACCAATTAGGAGCAAGAAAGTACACTGTTTTTTTCCGAATTCCTCCTCTCAGGGTTGGCATTGTTCTGTAATTTGTGGCACCTTTCTCTAATTTGCACAAAGGCTCTAAATGTGTTACCAAGGTTCCAGTTTAGTTGCTTACCTGGACATGCTTGTACATTGCATCTGGTCACCTGAGTAGCGTCTCCGGGACAGGGACGGCCACCTTTAGCTGGCACGGGATGATCACATAGCCGCTTCCGAGTCTTTTCTCCTCCTCCACAGGAGGCAGAGCACTGGCTCCAACGATGCCAGCTTCCCCAGCTTCCATCCACTGTGAACAAGAATGGAATGGTCACAGTTAACAGACTGGCTTCAAAATCTACACTCAGGGTGCCCCTACCTACACAACTCTCATTTTAAGGGCTGAAGCAATGGGGCTGCCACGATGAGCACTAAGTGAAATGCTTTACTCATTCTATTGCCAGAAATCAAGAGGCTCACCAGGACACATGTCAGTGTTGCACCTCTGGAGCTGGGAGTCTGGTCCCCCACAAGCTCTTCCCCCGTTGGAGGGACGAGGGTTGTCACACGTACGGTATCGCCGCATCTGCCCTCCATTACACATCCGGCTGCACGTTCCCCAGCCGCTCCAAGGACTCCAGTTACCATGGGCTACAAGACAGAATCATCTGAGATGAAAACAGAGCCCTCAGAATGAGCAGTGCTCAAAATGACATTCATCCAAAAAGTATGAAAAAGTCTCTGCTCAGCACCTGAAACAAAACATACAAGCCTATAAACAGGCAACTTCCAAAGGAAGACAGTTTAGCTCCGGTTTTGACCAGAAACTGTATACATTCCAGTGTTTGTGTGATTCCATTTAACATACATTTATTGAGTCTTAAAAAATTCCAGGAGCTGGAGGTATAAATGAGACAGGGACTCTGCTGTTGATGAGCCAAGACTGTAAAATTCAGGATACACTGTCACTCAAAGTTCCAAATATCAAGTTGCTGCAAGGGTCTAAAAATCCAGCTTGATGACTGAATTAAGGCAGAGAGCTGCCTACTTGCCTTCATCAAAGAATCATAAGCATCATGAAGAGTTAGCATGCAAAGGTGCTCTCATTCTTACATTCTGCAGCTAGTCCTACATAGAGCAAGTGAAATAGGATACAGCTCCTGCCCCTATGAATCGAAGACATCTATGGTATTATACAGACATGACAGCAACCTTACAACATTCTGACATCCTAAACCAAAGGTCAAAGAACCAAGTAACAGAATATTACAACTTTAAGTAATTAAAATAATAATGAAACGTTATGAAAGTATAATGTTGACTCACTGTTTCCAACACTCACTTGGACAAGGGTCACTATTGCAAAAATCACTCTGGACATCACTTCCTTCGCATTTCCTTCCTCCATACTGGGGCACAGGGTTGGAGCATTCCCTCGTTCTCTGTCTGGCACCTCCTCCACAGGACACAGAACAGGCACTCCAACTGGCCCAAGTCGCCCACTTGCCATCAACTGGAACAAGGGAAAAATGTACATGCTTTCTTACTACCTAGAAACCATTGCTTGACATCTGGGCATTGTTAGTTTCAGAGATGTTCTTGTGGGCACAGTTAGAATGGGGCAGATTCTTATTGCCATGCTACCTAAGTAGATGTTAATTTAGTAAAGGTATAAACAGTGTATTTTTCTTACTTGGACAATGTCTTTCATTGCAAACTTGCATCTGTGTTTCTGCTCCGTCACAGTAGGACCCACCAAACTGTGGTGGTGGGTTATCACAAAGTCTTGCTCTTGTCTGAGCACCTTTCCCACAACTTTTGCTGCACGTTCCCCAAGGCTGCCAAGCACTCCATGCTCCATGAACTACAAACACCCCAAAGACAAAGTTTCAAGTCACAGAACCGTGCTTGTTTAAGAACCAAAATTATATAAATAAATTAACTCAGTAATGAGCTAATCAGCCCATAATCTAAGAGAACTGAAACTGAACCAAAGGAAACATAACAAACAACATTCTTTCTCCTTCTGGTTAGATTTTCAAAGGAATTTGTGTCTATAGGGAAATTCAGAAGGCTTACCCGATGCCAATATAAATGCTTAAAATCACCCAAAGGAACTATTTTATTACAATTAAATTTACTCAAACTACTATATATAAACACAGTCTGAGTGTTTAAGCCCTAGCTAAGTATTTGTCTGTGTTCTTTGCTCTGGGGAAAGTGGAAGGAACTGGGAGTTTGGGAACAAGGCTGTATAACAGATTGAGATGTGGTTATGGACAACACAAATATTTCCATAAAGATAATTTGGACCCTAGACAGCGAGACCACATCCTAAGCCTGATTCAGCTTGATGCCTACATATGTACTTGGATCTTTCAACAACGTGATGATTTGCACAGCTGTAATTCTTTAAAAAAGTTTCTCCATTACAAATGTTCATGAATTAAAAGCTCTGAATAACATGCTAACCTGCTTCCTAAACAACATAAAAAGCTGACCAGGAGTTTCCAAGGAGTGATATTAAGGCCTTCCTTTTGGTAACTAACACATTACGCCATTGGACACAAGAGTAAAACAACCTTACGTTTTACCAGGTACATGGGCTGAGACTCAACATTATGGCTTTCCTTACGTACAGGTGAACACCAGGTCATTTTTTGTTTTCAGGGAACTTTCTAGATAAGGAGCTCATAAAGTACATCTTCTGGTCACCTGGTGTAACCAAAATATGAGAAAAAATAAGAGCCTCAAAGGCTGAGTGTAAATATTCCCCAGAACAAGTTGAAAACCATGTAATGAAACTATCATTTGTCTGCTTTAATTAGAGAAATACTTTAAAATGCATGTTACGGTTTCTTATAATTAATGGATTTCTGTTTGACTAATTATCCTTGTGATTTGTAGACAAAAACATGGTCACACAAATCTATTTTAGCCAACAAGAATTTGCACTAAAAAGTGGCTAAACCTCAGAGGAAAGAAGAAAGCCTTGAAATATATGGCAGATATTCAAAACTACTTCTGTATTATATTCAGGCTATGGATGCTCATTTTCCTCAAATATAGACTATATGATTTCAAAAACTCTGAAGTTCCAATTATTTCAATGTATTTTATTTTCAAGGCTGTTGGCTAACAAAAGCCCCAACCTCTTACCATATAATGCCATTTAATATAGATGCATTTGTAATTGGAGGATTAACAATTGGGTAACATTTGTTCATTTAATGTCTGTGTCATTTCTATTACATATAAACACAGGTTTTCAGCTAAAGACCATTTTATTTTTATTTTTTAACCAATATGGAAAATCTTAACTAGAACTGGACTTCAAGACATATAATGTTGGGGAGTTCAAGTGTTTCTTTTATAAAAATGGAATGATAGCAAGAAAAAAGGAAGAATGGTAATATAAACTGGAGAAGGCATAAAACATCATGCTATCTAGCCAGAAAAAAACAAGAACTAAAAACAGAACTGCAATCCCACTATGGGTATAAGCCCAAAGCAATATAAATTGTTCTACCATAAAGACACATGCATGTTTGTGTTCATTAAGTACTATCTGCAATAGCAAAGACAGAAGCAACCAAAACACCCAACAGTTGTACACTGGATACAGAAAATGTGGTACATATACACCATGGAATACTATGCAGCCATGAAAAAGAATGGCATCCTTTGCAGAAACAGGCATGGAACTGAAGGTCATTATCCTTCACAAACTAACTCAGGAACAGAAAACCCAATACCACATGTTCTCACTTACAAGTAGGAGCTAAATAATGACAACACATGGAAAGAGGAGAACAACAAACACTGGGACCTACTTGAGGTGGGAGGGTGGAAGGAAGAAGAGATTTAGGAAAAAAAAAAAAACAAACTGTTGGATACTATGCTAAGTATGCAGGTGACAAATAATCTGTACATCAAACCCCTGAGTCATGAGTATATAACAAACCTGAACATGTACCCCGACACTAAAATGAAAGTTAAAATATTTTTTTAAAAACTACAGAGGGATTAGTAGGGAAGAAAAGTGCAAAATATTATAATTGAATTTGTTGTTACACTACTTTGCAGTTTTAATTACAGAAGGGTAGAGGAGCACAATGCTAGGGGCGGAGTTTCCAGGCAGACATGCTGGGCCTGAAAAACTATTCTGCCCTTACAGGCCATGCCGTCCTGACAAGTGACTTGGCTTCTGTGTGCCTAGTTTCATCATCTGCAACATGCAAATAAAAGATAATTTATTAGAGTTGAGGTGGGCAATAATGAGTTCATAGAAGAACGGTACTTGGAACAGCGCAGGACACATAGTAAATCCTATGTACGTGTAAGCTAAGAGCTTTGCTCAAAGTTCTCAACAGTTTCCAGACAGACACTTGAAAAAGTGCTCATTCTTTTAACTTGTAAGTATATATGTATTTTAATGACAATGATTCTCAAATGTCAGGATAGGCCCTCCCTGAATATATAAATCTTAAAAAAGATTCGCAGTTTAAAAACACTCTTCTAACTGGGGTGGGGAAGCTACAAAATAAGTTTGAAGTAACTGTTTGTGCCAGAAAGTGAGGAAGTACTCAGAGAATCATGACGACATCTCAAGAGAACACTGAAACCAGCCTGGACATGCCTGCCTCCACTAACCTATTCTAGGATAATGTGAACATCACTATAAATAATGACAGTGTATGATAAACTGGGGGTCCTCAATCCCATGGGCCATGGATCGCTTGGCGGGTGAGCAAAGCTTCATCTGTATTTACAGCTACTCCCCATCACTCACATTACCACAAAAGCTCCCCCTCCTGTCAGATCAGCAGTAGCAGTAGGTTCTCATAGGAGCACGAATCCTATTGTGAACCGTGCATGTGAGGGATCTAGGTTATGTTCTCCTTATGAGAATCTAATGCCTGATGATCTGTCACTGTCCCCCATCAACCCCAGAAAGGACCTTCTAGTTGTAGGAGAAAAAGCTCAGGATTTCCAGTGATTCTACCTTATGTTGTGTGATTATTTCATTATATATAAAAATGCACAATAAACATAATGTGCTTTAATTATCCTGAAACCATCCCCCCACCCCTCAGTCTGTGGAAAAATTGTCTTCCACAAAACCAGGCCCTGGTGCCAAAAAGGTTGGGTTCTACTGTGATAAACCACCGAATGATACCAGAGCATCATACCATTGGATAATACCTGAATTCTTATTGATATAAAAAGTAAAGAAATGAGAAAGTTCTTTACAGTAGAAGTCAATAACAGATATGGAAGATAATGATGAGTTAGAAACAGGTATTTTGCAAAAATCATACTAATAACTGATTGAAGCAGAAATCAGAAATGGATGATAAACTAGTGTGAAAGGTTGGCAAGATGTTTATATAGTCTCCAAGTTTCCCTACAAAATACTTACTAATAATACAAGCAAAACTGGGAACTGTACAATGACACATCCCACCTTTAACAAGAGAAGAAAGTTAACAGCGCCAGTATGGGACAAACTGACATATGTTCCTTCTGAATGATGCACTGAGAAGGACACAAAATCATTTCTGTGGTGTTCCTGCCAAAATGCAAAACCTGCGTGTAATCATGAGGAAATGTTAGACAAATCCAAGTGAAATTGTCTTCTGTAAAATGGTTGGCCTGTACATTCAAAAACATTAAAGTCATGACAGAAGACTGAGAAAATGTTCCAACTAAATGAGACTGAAGAGACGCAACAAATAAGTGCGAGTGTGATCCTGGATCGGTTCTTGGAATGGGGGGAAAAGAGTTATGAAGGATATTACTGGGACAACTGACAACATCTGAATATGGGCTATGGATTAGATCATAAGATTCGATAATGAAATCAGATAATAGTGGTATCAATATCAGATTTCCCAATTTTGATCACTGTACTATGTGCATGAAAAAGAACGTCCTTGTTTCAGGAAATACATAAAATTTCACTTGATAGTGTTAAATAGAAATTATCTATACTGTTCTTGCAACTCTTTTAGAAGTTCAACATTGTTAAAAATAAATTGTACTGAAAGCAAGTATCTTCTGCCCCTTAGATTTTCACATACCTTCTGGATGAGAAAGGCTGTCTTAGGCTGGCTACCCATTTTGCAGTGGTGAGCTGAGAAATGTTTAGCCACCAACTCTCTAGGGGGTGGGGAGGAAAACTGACTTGTAGCATCTGCTGATTGTTGTGGTATAGATATTCCTACAGCAGCTGCTGTTTACCTACCAAGATGGCATCACAAACTCATACATGCTCTTGCTGGGAAGAAATACATGCTCTCATTGAAGTGCTCCAGGACACCACCATTATGCTCAAACAATAGCTAAATTCAATTGGTTGAGGGGCTGGGGGAAATAACTAGAGAAAGCCTAAAAAAAACCAAGCCAATAGAATAGCAAGTAGTTACTCAACATGAAGAGAAAAAACTGGCTTTTAGGATATTTACAAATATCATTTAGTTATTATATAGTTATTATAGATGACGAATTACACAAAAATTGTTCTGATCAAGCATTTTCTGCTCTTTTACGTTTAGAACATACTGTTACTACAACCAGCTTTTAAATTCTTAAAGACTAAAATAAATGGTTTCTTGTTTAAGATGTCAGAACAGTACTTTGTTTCTGTAATGTAATCAAAGTTCTGAATTGCAAATCCAGATACCTACAATTTAAATAAGCTTAGTAATTAGATCAATCTGGGTTCAAATCTTTGATTCACTTTTTATTAGCTGTCTATCCTTAGTGAATTACTGAATATCATTTTCTTCTTTTTTCTTTTACTTTAGGGTCTGGGGTACATGTGCAGGTCATGCAGGGTTGTTGCATAGGTGCATACATAATACTGAATGTTATTTTCTATATCTTTCCTCATCTGCACAATAGGATGCAACACCCAATGTACTGAATACCTGTCCCTTTTTGGTTTGTCTGTATTTCTTTTTCTGACCATTCCAGCTAAGATAGGTCTCCAAGTTGTACCCCATCATTTCAACTCTCTGAGTTTTTTGGGTGTGTTGATCAACACTGGAAAGATACTGTTTATCATTGTAACTCTAGCAACTAGAATAATGCCTTGATGACAGAGTGAGCGCTCAATAAATATTTGTTGGGTGAATGAATGAATAAATAAACGAACAGCTCCTCTACTTTGCATAATTTCTTTCTCTGCCCCTCATTACAGTAGGTAGGCAGCTCACCCAAGCTGGTTATTAAAATACCCTTCTCCTGGACTCATTTGAGTTCAGGGGTGAGCATATGATCCAAGCAAATGCAAACAGGGTTCTTTCCGAGGGACTGGTATGAATTCTGAGAGACAAGGGAACTCTTTTTCTCTGAGGCCTTACTTAGATTATAATGCCCCTGTGAGCCAGTGGCTGCCAGCAGTCATTTTTTTCCACCACATGGAAAGAGTATAATAGAGAATAAAGACAAAGGGAGGAAAGCAGAGATGAGAGATGGAAAACATGCTAGGAAAAACATTGTCCAAATTCTTGGATGCAATAATACCTGAAGAGTTTTCTACTTAGGCTTGTTTGATTTGTCACTTTAATCTGAAAGAGTACTAAAATACAAAGTCAGTAACAATATGCAATATTAACAATATAAAGCATCTAGCATGGTTCCTATTGTATGATAAGTATTTAGTGAATTACAGCGATTAGTACTTACCCCTCACCAGATGTGTGTTTCTGGGCAAGTCTTTAACCTCTCTAGGGTTCATTTTTCTCACTTGGAAATGGATGGCTGGATTAGACGTTACTTTATGACCTTATAAATACTTATGGTTTCTTTACATGATTGAAAAATACACTCTAGTTTGGAGACTTTCTTCATGTTCAATTAAATCAAGTATTTTGCTTAATGTCTATGAATACCTTTACAAGTTTACCCATGAAAAAGAACTAAGTATATAGTGAATGAACATATTCTCAAGGGTAGAACCCATAACATCTTCTTAGAATGAAGAAGAAAAGGTGAATATAATTATTTCATAGGAGTTAAAATAGAAAAGTTTTTCTTATCCTAGTGTTATCAGTGTGTTCTCACCTGGGCAAGGCCTAATGTTGCACATAATGATTTCCACAGCATTCCCTTCACACGGCCACCCACCGTGCTGAGCTGACGGATTACTGCAAGTCCTGGTCCTGGTCTGGTTGCCGCGTCCACAGCTCCTTGTGCATTCTTCCCAAGGACTCCATTCCGACCAGCTACCATCCACTATACAAAAGTGAACCATTATACCATCGGGTGTGTTTTAAGTTAGAATACTGACACTGGGGCAACTCATAGGTGGAAAACAGAAATGAAGGTCTGCTAAACCCATGCCTATCAGTTAAATAAAGAGGTGTACCTGGACACGGCTTATTTTGACAGTTTCGCACTTCCAAATCTGAACCTGGGCAGGGCTTCCCACCATTGGCAGGAGGGGGCTGGTTGCACAGACGACTCCTCTTTTGGATGCCTTTTCCACAGGTGACACTGCAGGCTTTCCATGCAGACCACTGTGAAAATCCACCATGAACTGCAAATAAAACGTGGTACTTTGTCTTAGCTTTGGCAAATACAAACTTGTAAAGATTTCACTTAAGATATACACTGGTTACAGAGCTAAATATAGAGTTGTGGAGAAATAGCTTATTGGAAGCTCTCCTTTAAGGTAAAATTAGGATCCAAGAGTGAGAGAAGAACCCCAGTTAACTAGAGTTTCTTCTCAGATCTAGTCCTCACTCACTTGCACATGGCTGCTGGAAGACTTCGAGACCAGTAAGATTACAAACTGTTTACCTTTTGGAAGTAAGTAATTGTTTAAAGCAAAACATACACATTGATTTCTGAGAATAGATTTGACTGAGCTGTGAATCAAAAATTTAGTTTGGGATTCTAAATTAAAACCTTGGCATTTTAAAGCTCTAATCTGTATTGCTTTAGGCCCTTCAATTTGTAAATTTTGATGATTTTGTCCTCTCCCCATCATCTAAAAGTATCTTAAGGAACAGGAGACTTGGACTAACGTGTTTAATAATTTCCATGATTTGAGCCACCCCAGGTGCTGTCTCCTATGGATGTTCCTCTGATCACACTCACCCTGGACTATGACTGGCACTCTGACAAGGACAGAACCCATTAAGTTTCGAGCAACACATTCAAATTCAGAGGTGTCTTCTTTCTGAGCATCAGCAATATATAAGGAGTTGTTGGACAACACATTAACCCGCTCATCCCCGGAAATAGAGTGCCCTTGACGGGACCATGTAATGGTTGGCTGAGGCTCTCCAGTTGCCTGACAATTCAGTAGGACTTTGCCACCGGCATTAATAACAGTTTCCACTGGCTCAAGAGTGATAATAGGAGGACCTATGGAAAAAAGCACAGAGTGTCTCAGTTTTTGTGGAGTTATAACCCTTTTTATCATGTATTATGTGGTAACATAATTTTGAAAAACTGATTTGTTTAAAAAAACACTTGCTGCCTAAGACTGTAGATTGTAATTGCCATTGATACAATTTTCATAATTCTTTAGTAAATGTCAAAAATTTAAAATTCCTGAGCAGATTAGCCTACAGCATGGGTTCTACAGTCATGCTTCCTGGATTCAAATTCTATGTCTGCTTCTTACCACCTTTCTGAGCCCCCGTGCCGTTAACAATGCTGCCTACTTCAGAGGATTCCTGTCAGACTCCACGAGAGGATGTGAGAACAACTTTTGAACAGGGTAAGCACACAGTAGTCTTAGTTACTATTGTTATTCTTGTCTGTGTTTTATGTGGTGAATATTCACTTTTGATCATTTTTGAGGTAAAGAGTCATTAACTCATTTTTTGTTTTTTTTTTGAGCCGGAGTCTCACTCTGTCACCCAGGCTGGAGTGTCGTGGTGGGATCTCGGTTCACTGCAACCTCTGCCTCCCGGGTTCAAGAGATTCTCCTGCCTCAGACTCCCAAGAAGCTGGGATTACAAGCACCCACCACCACGCCCAGCTAATTAACTCATTCTTTTATCACTGGTCATCATTCATATATTCAATAACCATGTATTGAAAGCCTGCTATTTGCCAGGCATTGTGCTAGGTGCTGAGAATATATAGAGAGAAGACATTATTTTTAGTCTCAAGGAGCTCATAGTCCACTGATAAGATAGATTTGTGCTACAGCATATCTACAGAATTAACGTGTACTAATATGGGAGCATAAACAACAGTAACAATAGATCAAACAAAAGCATGCCATTGGAAATTAAGAGGAAAAGGAAGACATATCCAAGAGTTATTAAGAAAGTAGAAATGATAGAACTTTGTTACGGATTGGCATGGGTTAAAGGGAAGAACTGATGACTACAGGGTTTTGATTTGGACAATATGCTGTAATTGGGCAATAGCAAGAATGCAATAGCACACAACAGGAAGAATGGATTTGTGGATAAAGAGTAGGGAATGATAACTTGCATCCATTCAGGACTATTGAGCTTGAGGTATCTGTAAGATATTCATATAGAGATGTCTAGATGACAGGAGGATATTCATAGCTAGAGCTAAGAATAGAGATGAGCAAGAACTATAGATATGCAAGCCTTTCACAGTAAGATTGCTTCAGAAGAGAGTCTAAAATGAGAAGAGGGTCAAAGGCAGAAACAACTGTGACAGCATTATTTAAGAGATGGACAGAAGACAAGCCCATAAATGATACTCAGAACCGATCACTGAGGTAGGAAGCGAGTCAGGAGAAAATGGTATTCTGGTAACCAGAAAGGAAGGAGGGAGATGTTAACAGGGTTGATAGTAAATGACAGTGGCTCAAGCAGAGTCCTTGGAAAGACCGTAAAAGGAACTGCATGCAGCTGCTGGCAGATTCTTATGTCTATATTGATCCATAGTGCCAAGAAAAGACGACAGAATATGACAGACTTCATTGGGGAGAAGACACTTGAACTGGATTTTCAAAAACAGGTAACGTTATTTGAACAGAGAGGAGAGGGGAGAACACTTGGAGAGAAAGACACAACATAGAGATGGATTTAGCTTTTTATTTTTTAAAGACAATGAACAGAATAGAAAGAATGGTTCACCCTGAAGAGTAGCAGCATACAGGGTTTTAAACACTGGTTTAAATCTTAAAATAAGAAACCAAAGGGGGCAGCATATACATTCTTGAGAAAGAGCATGATAGGTAAGAATGGTGTCTCAGTGAGATTGAACTGAAAGGTGGAATGATTTGTTCAATGAGAGGTAATAAATAGCAGATAATTCAAGGTGGCGGTTGCATATTTTAGACCGAGAAGTATATCTAGTATAAATAGAATACAAGTAAGACAAAAATACAACGAAAATCTGTTTCATTGTGATATTAACATGTTAGTTTTTTCTGCAAAGGTATCAGTGACATGTCTTTTGAAAAAGTAATTCCTTCACGTGAGGTTTGACTCTCTCAGCAAGTGTCATATAAAGCATTATTCTGACTTATGCTCATCACCCTACACAATGCCTTCTAACTGATGTTCATATTAACTTCACTCTAGAAACTTTCAGGGGCGGTGCTTTTATTTCTCTCCTAGTTTCCTGATTACATAAACTGTTGCTGCATGAATACCTCAGGTTTATCCCTCAACACTAAGTGACAACATGACTAAATACACTTGTCTGCTCATATCAAAATGGCCAAGGTATCAAATAAACTCAGAGCCTTGATTTAGATACCATATCAAACATTCCCAATTGCATACAAAGCTATAAATTAATACAATAATAAAATTCCACATGTGGATCGATTAATTTCTTCACATAATTATTAAATATAAACACTTTAAAAATATCGCTTCTGATACTTTAATCCTAATTTGAACCAATTATGTTTTTGATTATTTAATATGCCTCACTTATTAAAATGAATTTATTGTCAGTATGTGCAGATGAGCTGTTCGAGTATAGCTTTTCTTAAACTGGGTCAGTGGATTGTGTAGCATCCTACCTACATTCACTCAATATTTATTGGGAAAATATGGCATATTCTCCTTTTGTTGAGCCATAATTCGCATTAGCTTATTAACATTTCTGCAGTAAAGAAATTTGGTAGCCTAAGGAGGAGGGCTGAGCACATAGTAAGTGTTCTTTATATACTTAATAAATACATGAACTCTGTTTAATTCATTTTTATCTCAGATTTATTTGAACATAGAACCCTATGTTTTCCTAATGACATCCCATTTTATCATTTGATAGACATGTTCTTTAGTGAAACATTGTCTTAGATACTTATTAAATGTCTATAATCTATTTGCGTCTTAGAGAATTATATAGTTTGGCAAACAGCTAAGAGCTAATCTAATTAGTTTTGACTAATCTGTAGATCATCTCTTAATAGTGAAGGAAGAAAATGTAAATTCATTCTGTTAAATACTGAGTCAAGTCACAAAATGACTTGACTTGCTTAAATTCTCAAACCAATGACATTGTCTTTGGGTCAGCCCCTAAATGCTTCTATAAACTCTCCAGTTGTCCATTGGAGTATTTCATGTTTTTCCAATTATGAATACTGTGTTTTCCAGTAATTCTCACTGAAGGGCTTCCTGATGAGCCTGAGGTTCTCACCCAGAACGTTTAGTTATTTCACGAAAGATTACAGCCATCAACCTGGAGCACTTTTGAGTTCCTTTACATTAGTCTTTATTTTTAATAAATATTTTAAAGTGCCATAAATGTCAATCTTTGTAAGCATGTTGGAATAACTGTGGTGAACTTTAAGAAGGGGCGCTCCATTGAATGTGTTGTAATAAAAAAGCTCTGCCACTGATCAATTGCAGTCTTATACTGAATATGTTAGATAAAATAGAAAAAATATCTGTGCAAGGGTTGTCAGTTTAATGTTTGATGACAAGTGCTCCATCAGCAGCAGAAAGCTAAATTAGCCATGCTTTGAGAGCTACCACGAATGAACTTGCTATAGATTTAAAATGAACACTCTTTATTAGGTAATATTTCTTAAATCAAGTGTTTAGTACGTTTAATGAAGCAGCTTACTTTGCAGGGTCAGGCTCATGCTGCGCTCCACCACCCCAGCTTCATTGGCAGCTACACATGTATAGTCACCGGCATCTTCATTCTATGGAAATAAGCAGCATTTTCACAGAAATATGAGCCTACAGAGCAGGCTAATCACTTTTTTCACGATGATGCTTATTTGAAATTTCATTTTTGAGAAGGAATTTTAATAGAAATAGGAAAATCTACATATGTCTAACCTCTTAAATAGATTTGGA